CTGGGTTCTCAGGCGAAGGTGGCTGGGCTCCGAATTCAGCATTCGACAGAGAAGGCGGGCAAAGATCAGAAGATTCGGGCGACAGAGGCAGCGATACCACGGGAAAGGGCAGCACATTAGCACACGATACTAGACTGGCATCACTTCAATACTGCTGGACGGAGGCCTGGGCCTGCTCGACCATCCAACTGGCCGTCGTCTCGGTGGTGCTCCACTCGGAAAGCTGGTCGCCAATCGGCTTCAGCTCGTACATGCCACCAGGGGCGTCGGTCAGCTTGAAGATCTCCCAGTGGTCGTTCTCGGTGGTGATGCTGAGAACGCCTTTGAACGGGTTGGTGCCGATCTTGATTGACGGGCTCCACTTCCCTGCGTTCTCGAAGTGCTTGCGGACGAGCGGCCAGAGGGCGCTCAGGACGCGGTTCTTCTGACGGGCCTGCAACGGCATATCCCTGCGGCATCTCAGCGGATGAAGGGAGGTGTTGCGGTAGTCCTGCCATGTCACGGGGTTCGCGAGGAACCAGTCGTGGAAGTCGCGGGCCTTCTGCTCAGAGTTGAAGGTGACGGCGAACGCTCGAGATACTTTGTGGAAATGACCTGTCATCCCTTCACTGATGGCAGAAGGAAGTCGGCTCTTCATCTGGTTGAAGACTGTGCGCCTATACGGCTCGGTGACTGGGCGCGGAAAACCGCTGATCCACCGTCTGGTAGGGTCGATCTGGTTGTGCTCGTCGTTGGCAAGATCGATCATTGGAGTCTCGGAAGCGCTGGAGCCAGCACTGGTGCCCCTCCCTAGGCGACGAGATTTGGATGGCGGCCGAGATGAAGCGGAGCCTGCATCAGACGGAGCTCGCTGAAGTTCGGCAACGGACGCCCCGAGCCTGGCCATCTTCTCGTTCATCTGCCGTTGAATCTCGAGCCCAGCGTTTTTGGCGATGTGGTTGCCGTCCTCGGTGTCGAAGAAGGCAGCGTTGGTGGCGGCTTCTTGATGAGCATGCTCGAGTCGAGACACTCTCAGGTCCATGTCGAGAACGAGAGCTTGGTGAGCTTTCTTGGCTTCTTCGAACTTGTCCTCCATGGCGAGCTCGAGATCGGAAATCTTCTCCTCCAGTCCTTCAGCGACGACGAGTCGTTTTTTGGCATCTTTGATGTCGTCCCTCATGGCACTCATGCCGCCGTTCATCCCTTCTAGAACTTGGAGCAGCTGAGCATTGGATACCTCAGCAACGGCCATTGCACTGCCAGGAAACGAGACAGGAGTCTGGATACCCAATCTGGGTGGCAAAATGCCTCTTGAGCCAAAATGGCGACGGAAGCAGGTGGAGGAGGAGAAGCAGGAGGAGGAGGAGGAGGAGGAGGAGGAGAGGAGGGAGGAGGAGGAGGAGGAGAGGAGGAGGAGGAGGAGGAGGGAGGGAGGAGGAGGAGGAGGAGGAGGAGGAGGAGGAGGAGGAGGAGGAGGAGGCTCGGTTGGGCGCCGCGGTTTTCGGCGGGGAGCAGGCGAGAAGCTTGGCCGCGCCCGCTGCGCGCGATCACCCCGCTGCCGACGCCCCTTTGGCCTCCGCCGCTGGCCCGGCGCCGCCGCCCCAAGTCGCGCGCCTCGTCCAGCGGCAGGTGGGCGACGATCCAAAGCCGAGTACCGCTTCGCCGATCCATCCCCAGCGACGTGGCCTGGGCCCCACTGGCCGATCTAGCCCCCTAGATGGGGATACAGGCCGCTTCCTTCGGGTTTCGGGGGGTGCATCCCTAACTGGAGTGGTTGTTTGGTGGGGGTCTCGAAGGGGATGAGGATGGGGATGGGGGTCGGTTAAACCATACTGAGCGACGATCAAACACGGGTCTTGCGCGAGGTGGCACAGCGACCTTGCGCAGCGGCTTACGCGGCACGCCGGCGCGGCACGCCACACTGGAGACGAGGGCGCTCACGCGCGACCTTACGCGGAAAGCTAACGCGCCAACGTCGGCGCAGTTGGACCCGTTTGTTCCGTCATCCAATTGGGGCGCAGAGCTCCTGGCAGGGGCAACGATGAATATATCGACGGCCAGGCACGTGAGCTCCAGGTGGCTGATGAGCTCGCGGTGTTCTGTCAACCCGTGCGCTCGTAGCGTACTCGGTGCCCGCCCCGTCTTCCTCGCGGTGGCCAGCCATCATGTGGTCAACGGATCCTGCCCTCTCAGCGCGTCGTCCCGTCCGAGCCCCATCGGCGAGACTCGTCGATCTTCCTCCTCCACTGCGCCGCAACGGGCCATCGGAGGTTCGACCAGGCTCTCGCCCGCAGGCTGGGCGGCGCGATCGATGGGCCCCTCCCCTCCTGGCGCGGGCCTGGGCAGGCTGGCCACGAGCGGCATCCGCCACGGACACCTCGGCGGGTTCTCTTCCGAGCAGAGTGCGATGTCCAAGAGGGCCTGCCAACTACGTTTCGGCAGCCACCGCAGCTGCCCCGGGGGAAGACGGCCCTGTCCCAGTTCAGTGCCGTCGCCAGGATGACATCCGCGCCCAGCCGAGGTCCGCCATGGTGACGGGCGGGGGATTCTCCCAGATTGCTTCGACACCTTTCACCTGTCACTCCAATAGAGGAACAAGAACCCTGGCGCACCCCTCCTGGCGCGCGGAGCGCGCCAAGGCTCCAGCGCAGATCCAAGGCATCCGCGCTGACCGCCGAAAATTTATGTTTACGCAATTGTTTGTTCCTCGATCCAAATGGGGCCCTTCGTCCACCGCGCAATCGGGGTGGTCATTGAACGGCTGCCGCTCGTAGGGAGACGAAATCTATACATATCCACTGCTCCCTGACCAGGCCCATCCCGAACCCAGCAGCGGTGCATACGCCACGCCCTCCTGGCTTGACCAGGAGGGCGTATACACAGCTCCTAGACTCGAGGCCTCATAGATGGGGCCCGAATAGATGGGGTCGGAGGATCGCGCCGCATCGCGGATGCATCGCCGATGATGCTCGATGTGGAGCCCGATTTCCTCCGCGCTGGTGTCGCCGAAGCACCGCCGACGTCGCCGATGCATCGCCGTTGCGTCGGCAATGCATCGGCGATGCGGCGGCGTTGCGTCGCCGATGCATCGCCGTTGCGTCCTCCGACCCCCCCCACTCGGACACCGTCCAGAAGGGCCCCCTGTGGGCCCACGAAGAGCCCGGCAGAGGGGGCAGGCGGATGCGTCTGGACTTCGCCGCCCGAGCTCTGCCGTCGGGGCTGCCGTGGCGGCGTGAGCCGGGACCGGCACGCGGGCTCTGCGCCCCGCCCCGCTCGTCGTGGCGCATCACAGCACTGCGGGGCGCACATCTCGCCCCCCTCGGGGCGCGCGCCCGAAGGCCTCGCGCCCCGCCAGGCTTGAGAGCCGCCTCCCAGGCACGGGGCATCTGGGCGGCGAACAGAGCAGGGTCTTGCGCGAGATGATGCAGCGACCTTACGCGGTGGCTTACGCGGGCCGCCCGCGCGGCACGCCACATTGGAGACGAGGGCGCTTGCGCGCGACCTTCCGCGGGAAGCTTACGCGCCACTGTCGGTGAAGACGACCCTGTCGCTTTATCCGTTCCCCTCCTCAAACTGTGGTCCGGATTCTGCAGGCCTTCCGCGTGCTCGTGGATTCTCTCACCAGAAGCCCGCAGCCCAGCCCTCTGGCTCCACTCCAAGCTGCGCTTTCTCGGCGGCGTGGTTCAACCCCATTGGGAACCCAAGGCACGCCACCGTCGTGATGGTGGCCCGCCAATAGAAGCCCGTCAGTTGCGTCTTCATCGCCGTGTGCGGGCATGTCGGCGCTACTCCAAATGCCTCGGCAAAGCCCATCCTGCAGGCCAAGGTGTCTGAAACGACTCCAACGTTTCCGCGGGTTGGCACCTGGGGCCTGGCCAGCGCCCCTGCCTGCTTCGCAAACATTCCCCTGATCGACGTCCCTGCCCGCCGTCAAGACCAACGGTCTGGGCGATGTCCCCAACCACGCCATGAGAGACTCCCAAGAACCGATGTTGAAGTCCGCGGCGACGACACCAAATTGAGTCACTGGGATGTCCAGAGCTGATTGGAAATCTATGCCCTCTGATCGATGAAGCGGAACTCCGTCGCCCCCTTTTATCTCTTCAGGGCGTGGTGCTGCTGTGGACGCTAGCGGCGTGATAACATCACACCCTACTAACCTCGGCAAGCTCAGCGTGCATGTCGAAACAGCCGTGTCGAGCCCAGCGCTTCGCCGGTACCATCCGGTTTGTACCCATCTCCTTGGACCTTTCCGCCAAAGCCTGACACCTGACCGACGAGATGGTGATGGCCTGCATCTCCTCAACGTCTGTTCCCGACCTGGCGTCCGATACGGCACGCGGCGACGCCCAGGTCAGGATGACGCTCAGGACCGTGCTGCAAACCGATCCTGCCCACGCGTCCGATACGGCACGTGGCGGCTCCAAAGCAACATGCCATTTCTTGTAACCTCGTTCCCTCTCCTCCTCCTCCTCCCCCCTTCTCCCCCTCTCCGTCCAGTTTTCCGTGCCCCTCCCCCCCCTCCCCCGCAAGCATCAAGTTGAGCATCTTTCCGATCGCGGATTGGCCAGGCCGGGCCTGTTCGAGCAGCCCTGGGCGTCCGCCTGGAGAGGAGGGGAAGGAGGGAAGAACAGGGAGGGAGGGAGGAGACAGGGAGGAGGGGATGGAGGAGTGAGGAGAGGGGAGGTGCCCCCTGTTCCTATGACATTCTGCTCCTCCACTCCTGTGCTTGACGACAACTCGCCCAGGAATCGGTTCTGGACGAGCTAGTGAGGATACGTGCAGCGTCACGAATTGGCGACAACAATCGGCAACTTCGAGACCGAAAGAATTCTGGAACTTCTGGCAACAAAGCAACACCACGGATACCGGTGTCAACGCATGGCAATTCCCCTATCCAACTAAGACCTCCTACATTGCAGTAACCACTTTGGGAAAAGACTTTAGGACTGCCTTCGGAGACGGAGACGGGGATATGGAGGACGATGAGCCTCCCTCACTCCTTCCCTCCCCGTCGACGCCTCCGCTTTACCCTTGGTTGTCACGTTGAGGTCTGCCGTCGCCTTCGCGGCGATCTCCATCTTCTGGGCCTCGCGCGCCCGTTCCACCAAATCTTGCGTTCCGCCACTGCACTCGGGCCCACCCCATTCGTCCGTGCTCTCAACCATTCCTTTCCTGGCGGCCTCACCGTGCCTCTCGTGCTTGTCATCCCTATCCGCTGCCACATGTATACGTAGCGCCCCGAAGTCGCAGATAAGAGTGGGGGCGGCGGGGACGTCGGCAGTCTGCGGGGCTCTGAAGAAGCCCGCCGCAAGTGCCCAACTTTTACAAATTATACAACGAGCCCGCCGCAGGCAAAACATTTTCGTTGAAGCAATGTGAGTGGGTCGCCGGGTGGGGCGCTGATTAGGTCGCGGGTGGGTCGCGGGTGGGTCGCGGGTGGGTCGCGGGCGTGTCACGGGCGGGTCGTGGGCGGGTCGCTGGGTGGGTCGCGGGGGGGTCGCAGGTGGGTCGCGGGTGGGTCGCGGGCGCGTCGCGGGCCGGGTCGCGGGTGAATCCCGGATGGGTCGCCGGTGGGTCGCCGGTGGGTCGCGGGCGGGTCGCGGGCGGGTCGCGGTGTGGGTCGCGGGTCGGTCACGGGCGCGTCGCGAGTCGGGTCGCGGGTGGGTGGCGGGTGGGCGGCGGTTGGGTGGCGAGCTTGCTCGCGGGGGGGGCGACGATAACAACAACAATTTTAAGACTGTTCGCTTTCATCTGCTCGCGTGTCATTCTACATGCGTATCCCAAGCCTTTTTTTGGGGGGTATATTCATTCCCTGCCATGCGTGGCTGGTGCAGCCTCTGAAAACGAAGGGCAACAGATAACGGGGGGGAATGAGGGCGAAGGGGTCGCAGGAAGGGAGGGGGGGGGTCGAGAAGGAAGGAGGGCGATGATTTGCGCTGTGGGTGGCGATTCAGTTTGCGCCATGTCTTGCGCCAGCCACTCCAACACAGGTTAACAATAAATTTCGCCATGGGTCGCGCCATAAACAGCGCCACGTACCACCCCCTTGAAAGAACATATCGTGGATACCCCCACGGGGGGGGCGCACAGCTGCGAACTGGTGTCAGAAACCAATTTCGTGGAACCATGAAACGCAGCGGGATGTTGGGAGAGTGGGGCGGAAAGATAGCGACGCCTGCAACCGTGTCGAAAAGGGGCGCGGGGACGCGGGGTGGATTGGGAATGGAGTGGACAAGAGTAGGGTCTCAGGAGGAGGAGCGGCAAGGAGTGGAGAAGAGGAGTTGGGAGGAATGCGGGGGAGCGGGGAGCGCGCGGAGGAATCTGGAGGAGGGATTGGGCATAATTTTAAACAAATGCGGAATGCGAGCGGGAAGGGGTGGATATTGTTGGGATGGGATGGGGTTGCCTGGGGGGGGGGGCGGGCGGAACGCGAAGAACTGAAGAATAGCACAATGGAATACGAACGAACTGAAAATGAAGATTATCCCGGTGCGACCCTACCTAGGAGTTGGAACCCCTAGAAAAGCAGCATTAGTAGCAACGGTCAATCTAAGCTAAAGCTAACCTAAAGCTGAGCTAAAGCTAAGCTAAAGCTAAGCTAACGCTAAGCTAACGCTAAGCTAACGCTAAGCTAACGCTAAGCTAACGCTAAGCTAAAGCTAAGCTAAAGCTAAGCTGCAACTAAGCTAAAGCTGAGCTAAAGCTAAACTAGCGCTAAGCTAAAGCTGAGCTAAAGCTAAGCTAGCGCTAAGCTAAAAAGCTAAGCTAAAGCTAAGCTCAAGCTAAAGCTAAGCCAGAACTAAGCTAAAACTAAGGTAGAGCTAGGCTAAAACTAAGCTAACGCTAAGCTAAAGCTAAGCTGAAGCTAGGCTGAAGCTAAGCTATAGCTCAGCTATAGCTAAGCTGAAGCTAAGCTAAAGCTAAGTGAAAGCTAAGATAAAGCTAAGCTAATGCTAGGCTAAAGCTAAGCTGAAGCTAAAGCTAAGCTAAAGTTAAGCTAAAGCTAAGCTAAATCAAAGATAAAACTAAACTAATACTAAAATAAAACTAGGCAAAAGCTAAACAAAAAAACCAACCTGAAGCTAAACTAAGTTAAGCTAAACAAAGCTAAGCGTCAGCTAAGCGAAGCTAAGATGAAGCTAAGCTGCGCTGAGCTAAGCTAAGCTACGCCAAGATGAGATAAGCAACGCTAAGCTAAGGGGGCGTAACTGGGGGAACCGCGGGGCGGATCCTGGGGGAACCGCCCGGGGCGTGGAACACTGCCCGGCCCTTTAAGCCAACACGGTAAGAACCCTTCTAGGCAGAGCCTAGGTAGGGAATAAAAAGGAAAATGATAGAGAAGACTTGGAAATAACGCTGAAAAGTGGGGGCAGGTGGATGCGAGCGGAGACTGGTGCGGAAACAAAGCGCGGGGGGATTGGAAGGCACCCGAAAACCTCCTATGACCTCTGGGGGGCCTCGGAATGGCCCCGATGACCACCGAGCAATTCCAGAGGCTCCGAAAACCTGCAGGAACGCCCCGGGGGCCTCGTCGAGCGAGGCCTTCATTCGAAACCTGTGAGGAAGTATCGGGCGGGAGCCACGATTCGGTGGTCAGTTGCGAGGAAGTCCGAAGCGAGAGCGCGACTCTTCAATAAAGCGTGAGGAAGTATCAAGCGGGAGCCGCGATCCGATGGTAAATTGAAAGGAAGTCCAAAGAGAAAGAGAGAGAGAGAGAGAGCGCGATTCTTCAATACATTGTGAGGACGTGTCAAGCGGGAGCCGTTGTTGTTGTAAACCGGGGGCCAACAACGCAGTCTGACCCTCAAGACTTTCCCTGATACAAAAAAACCAGGTGCGAGCTCCGGGAAGGGCACTTCAATCGAAAAAACAATGTGCACCGGACGGGGGGGATCAACAATCATTTTTCTTCAGACATGGAAATTCAACAATAACAACACAACAGCATCAACAACAACAATAACAACAACAACACTACAACCACCAACAACAACAAGGAACAACCGCGCGTGAGTGCCCAATGGTCCCGGACCTCGTTCCCCGCGTTCTTCCCCAAGGCGGAACCGCGCGTCTGTGCCCCATTGGCTGGTTCGGACCCCCTCCCCCCCCAGCAACCAGCAACCAGCAACCTGGGGTCCTTTTCCCTGCTCCGCTGGCGAATTTGCTCGTCTGAAGGTGTGGACTCATCCTCCATGCCATTTTGCCGTGTCTGCACCAGCGAAGCTCGGGAATCTACGGAGTCCAATCGGGTCTTTAGGGGTGGATCCAGCTCTAATAGAATCTGATTGCTGGTGGATCGAACTCTACTACAATCCTGTTAGTGGTGGATCCACCCCTACTGCAATCCTATTAGTGGTGGGTCCACCTCTACTACAATCCTAATGGTGGTGGATTCACCTCTACTACGAGCCTAGTAGTGGTGGATCCAGCACTGCTGATAGAATCCCATTCGTGGTGGGTCCAGCTCTGAAAGAATCCCATTAGCGGTGGGCCCAGCTGCACTAGGGTCCTATAGGTGGTGAGTCCAGCCAGCTCTGATATAATCTGGTTAGGAGTGGACTCAGCTCTGATAGAATCCGATTAGGAATGGATCCAGCTGTGCTAGAATCCGATTCGGAGTGGATCCAGCCGTGATAGAATCCAATTAGTACTGGGTCCAGCTCTGATAGAATCCTCTTAGGAGTGGATCCAGCTCTGATAGAATCCTAGTAGGAGTGGATCCAGCTCTACTAGAATCCTATTAGGAGTGGATCCAGCTCTCATAGAATCCGATTAGGAGTGGATCCAGTTCCAATAGAGTCCTATTGGGATTGGATCCAGCTCTAATAGAATCATATTAAGGGTGGCTCCATCTATGATAGAATCTTATCGGGAGTGGATCCAGCTCTTCCTCCCTCCTATCACGGGTGGGCCCAGCTCTAATATAATCCTATTAGCGATGGACCCACCTCTAGCAGAACCGTATTAGGAACGGATCCAACTCTAATAGTATCATGTTCGGAGTGGCTCCAGTTCTAATCGAAACCTGTTAAGTGGTGGGTCCAGCTCTCATGGAATCCTGTTAGGGGTGGACCCAGCTGTAATACAATCAGAATACATATCTATATATATATATATATATATATATATATATATATATCCAGAAGTTCCATAGGGGGGGGGGGGGCTGAGAACCTAGAGAAGGCCCAAACATTCCATGGGGGGGCGGTATACTTCACGCAAGCGGTTCCTTTTCAAAACGGGGCTCTCGTCTGAGGGGTGCCTGCTCAAGGGCCTCTGGAGGAGGATCCCAGAGGGAAGCGGCTTGTAGGCCGAAGCCCCGAAATGGAAATCCACAACAAAACCAGGAGAAAGCCAATACAGCAGTTCCATTGGGGGGGGGGCGTTGTATTTGATGCAAGCGGTTCTTTTTCAAAACGAGGCTCTCGTCTGATTGGTGCCTGCTTAGAGGCCTCTGGAAGAGGATCCCAGAGGGAGGCGGCTTGTAGGCCGAGGCCCCGAGGTGGAGGTCCCCACCAGCACAAGGAGAATGCCCAGAGGGGGGACCCATGGGGAGGCGCTGTATTTGATGCAAGCGGTTCTGTTTGAAAGCTGTGCTCTCGTCTGAGGGGTGCCTGCTCAGGGGCCTCTGGAGGAGGATCCCAGAGGGAGGCGGTTTGTACGCCGAGGCCCCGAGGTGGAGGTCCACACCAACACCAGGAGAAAGCCCAGAGGGGGGACCGATCCGCCCTAACCACAGATCGTCCTTTTTCAGAATCAGGTTCTCACCGAATCTCGCCGTGCTTCGGCCGTCTTCAAACTGTCTGCAGCCGTTGGGCTGTGGGTTGTCTACGAGCCGTCGTCGTCGAGAGGGTTGTGCCGAAATGCGGTTTCGGTGGAGCTCCCTGCGAGACCCAGGGCCGCGATCCTCGAGAGGGGTGTGCCGAAAAGAAGCTTCGGTGGAGCTCCCTGTGGGGCCAGGGCCAGGATCCTCAAGAGGTGTGTGCCGAAATAAAGCTTCGGTGGAGCTCCCAGTGGGGCCAAGCCCAAGATCATAGAGAGGGGTGTGCTGAAATGAAGCGTCGGTCCAGCACCCTGTGGGGCCAGG